AGCGCTGTGCTGGCGTTCAGAGGGACCTGGACAGGCTGGAGAGGTGGGCTTCATATGGAGAAGGAAACCTCATGAAGTTCAACAAAGAGAAGTGCAAAGAACCCTGCAGAGTCCTGTTCAGCTTTGTGAAGAGAAAGCCCTGGGGAGAACTAATCCATGTGTTTCAGTAGTTGAAGGGAGGGAGTCAAGAGGATGGGGCCGAACTCTTTTCATTGATGCTGAGCAAAAGGATGAGACAAAATGGACACAGAAAAAATGAAACCTGAGGAGTTCCATCTGAACATGGGGAAAAGCTTTATTACTGTGAGGGGAGCAGAGCACTAGAACAGGTTGCCCAGAGAGGTTGTAGAGTTTGTATGCTTGATATTCAAAAGTAATCTGGATAGGGTCCTGGGTAAGGTGCTCTAGGTGCCCCTCCTTGAGCAAGGAAGTTGGATTAGAGGATCTCCAGATGTTCCTTCCAACCTCAGCCATTCCATGACTCTGTAATAATTGCTTTGTAAATTTAAATTGTAAGGTCAAGGTCGGGAGGAAGATATGGATATTGCCTAGTCCATCTTTTTGTAAAATTTAGGGATAAATTCAATATTAGAACAGGTAGCTTAGAACTTTGGTCAAGTTTTAAGAATACTCGAGGATGAGGATTTTGCAGCTCCTTTGGGGCAGCTGCTCCAGTACTTAATTGCTTCCATTATGGGTGTGGGTTGGTTTGTTTTGTTTTGTCCAACTGGAATTTCTCAAGTTGCTTCCCTTGTTTGGCCCAGTTTTCTCTGTCACTCACCTTTGAGAAGTGAAAGGTCGCTGTTAGATCATATCTTAACCTTCACGTCTCCAATTACTCAATCCCAGTTGCTTAAGGAGAGGGATCGTCATATGTCACTGGATTTCCCTAAAGATCTTAGGGGCTGGCTTGTGTTCAGGGTTGACGTTTCTCTTGTACAGTTGGTGGGGAAGAGGCAAATTTGGTTGTTTGGAGGGCTAGCAGAGCTACTCGCATAGTATGTAGTCGTGCCACAACCACTGTGAGTCTGGATAAGACCATTCCTCTTATCCTCTGGATAAGATCTACGGGATCTACAGGATTCCATACAGCATCTTTTGTTTGAAGCAATCTTGTGTTATAGCAGCTTTTCCTTTAATAAACAGGAGTCTGAAGTGCCGCCTTCTGTTCTTTCTCCCGAATGCTGTTGGCCTTTGCTTGTCTGCTAGGCAAAGAATTCAGTTTAGAAGCTGATATCTAGTGCGCTTTTTTCTGTAATCACTTCTCAGTAATTTTCTTTTTTTTCTAAATGTAGACAAGAAGAACCCCAAATCAGTTATCCCACAATCATACATCACTGAAATGCTACCCATTTTTTGAGAATTATTTCATTTATTTTCTTATTCACAGAATTCCAGGTTTAATAACATTTAAACTAAGCAGTATTTTAAAATAATTTTGCTTTGCCCTGTAATCCTTGACAAGAAGAGTATTCATCAAAGTTTCTAGTACACATGAATCATTTTTCCAGGAATTTGCTATAAAGAAAATATCACAACCCTGCAGAACATACATGCAGGTTTCAGTAGTGTACTGTGTGATAAATTATGTCTGAATGTGAATATTTCTTTAATTTCATATAGTAATTCTTCTATAAATTATTTTTTGCCTTTAATATTTTTATCATTTCTGCCTTATTTTTTATCCAGATTTTTCTAAATCTTTCCTAGATTTTTATCATGAAACATCTTACAGCTTTGTGGATCTTGTTCTGTTCTTTCTTTCTAAGATGTGATTGGAATATTAAAATTATGCCCCCAAATTTATTAATTTTCATTGTGAAATCTTTGAAGTTTTATGAATATCTGGAAGAGGATAAAGACTTCTCTATAATCAAATGAGCATGTTAGTGATTTGGAGAAATAATCTAAGAAAGTTCTTTTAAGATGAAATGTTATAATTGGTAATGTGAAGCTTACTGAAAGGGGCTTGTTGCAGGTCCTGATAGCAAATTAATATCCAAAGAAGCTTTTTTATTTATTTTTTTAAATATGGTATATGACAACTTTCTTTAATAAGAATAAAAATGTGAAATGTCCATTAAACTGTAATCTATTTGTATTTACCCCTAGAGATTTTTTTTGTGAAGACATGGCCTCCAGCACTGGGAATGAAAAGAGTGTGAATCCTGTGCTCAGAATAAGTCAGCTTGATGCTCTGGAACTAAACAAAGCCCTGGAACAACTAGTATGGTCCCAGTTTACCAGCTGTTTCCATGGATTTAAACCAGGGATTTTGGCTCATTTGGAACCAGAAGTAAAAGCATTTTTATGGCTTTTAATGTGGAGATTCACTGTCTATTCCAAGAACGCAACTGTTGGACAGGCAATTCTGAATATTCAGTACAAGAATAACTTATCTCAGACAGAGAAATACCAACCCCTGAGCAAACAGCAGAAGTTATGGTATCTTATTCTCACTGTTGGTGGACGATGGTTGGAAGAAAGATGTTATGACTTATTCAGCAATCG